CAGTTAATGAAGAAAAGAAGGATTTTTATGACCAGAGTGAGGAAATTAAATTCGCCTAAGAATTTATTCGTAGCACCAAGATTGCATTTCCAAATGCACGAGAGGTTATTTCATGACTGTTAGGAGTTATTTTGTTTTCCTAACAATGATAGATACAAAATATGGAAATAATTCAATTATTGTGTCAATGCCACTGATAAAAAGATATCTGAAATCTTACCTGAAGATGAGGCAGCCATTTCAAATTATTGAAGAAAGAGACAAATGCCTTCTGAGCTGCTTCGCTGCTTTTTGTTAACAAAGCTTCTTGTAAGGGAGTGCTCCACCTTCCCGCTTGAAGGCACACAAGTTTGGAGAGGTCAAAAGCCTCACCTAGAACTTCGACAGCATCTGGTACAGATGTCTTCAGTCTTCATTCTAGTTCAAAGCGGAGTTTGCGTACAAAGTCAATGGCATCCTGCAGGCAGTCGCTTGGCTCTCGAAGAAGCCAAGAAACAGGGTTCCTGCTGTTAGTTGCTGAAGACGTGTCTACCAGCCACCCATTGACAAGAGCAACACCATTGTACTTTTCATCTTGAACAACTCCATTGACGCCAGCAGAATTGGGACACAGTCGCTTATTCAATCAAAAAGGTACACTGTGATCAACTGATTGTAAATTATTTTCCATCAATTCTAAATTGTCAAGTGTCTAGGCTGTGTCTAGAGTGTGTTCCTTCCATAGTGTTAGAGTGTTGTGCTCAGTAGTGTTGTAAAAATTAATGTACTGTGACAAGATCCTGTCAGAGATGCCAAAAATGTTACTGTGTCTATTGCAGGTGAGACAAACTCATTGTCTGCTTGTGGATTTAGAGGTAACTGTACAGTGAAAGGATAATGAAACAATTTCTTTATAAAATGAATTAGGGATCTTGTTCACAGTTAATCAAAACAAGTGACTGAAGTAACAAAACAAACTATGGGTAATAATGACTAATAAAAGCAATGTGTGGACTGTGCTAAAAGTGTACGTCAATCGGGGTAAAAAGGGACGGTTTTGAATGTTTTTGTTAATAACTTCTTACCATGAAACATTTCACAAACAAGTTTAGGCTCATTTTATAGCTCTTTGCGAGGGCTATCGAATGGCATCTTCAAAAATATTCCATATGCTATTTGTAAGGTGCTAGACACAATATAAAAGGCTCCTGAATTTATCTGGAAATGGGGTAAAAAGGGACTCTTGAAATAAAACTCAATTTTAAACGTTTGAAGCGTGCAGTGTACTCACCTATTACCAGCAGTACTCCTCTTCCTTTTAGATGTAATGTAACAACAAGGAGCTCAACAAGCTTCTTTAGGGAGTGACCATTGCATTGAGTGACCTGGATGTTAGGAGTTCTGCCTAACATCCAGGCTGTTCTGCTCCCCAAGAAGATTTTATTTAAAATTTAGATTATTGCTTAAATTTAAAATTTAAGCAAAAATCTTTGATTAACTCATATTTATTTTAACTGTGGCCTTTGCTAACGGAGGATCTGCTGTAAATGTGTTTTAGCCAGGTTGTCCCTAATTACCCCAGGGGTTGTCCCTAATTACCCCGGGGGGTGTTCCTTATTACCCCATCGCGCAGAAATGGCTGCCATTTTTTTTTTTGAATGAGAAAGGCTAATTCCGTCAACTGCATTTTCAAGCCAACACCTGTGTGCAACTTTTATGTAAGTAAAAATTTTTAATATGGTGAATATTTTTTTTGCTCCAGACATTAGTAGAAGTACCGTCAACCGGGGCAACTCGGGACTGGCGGGGCAACTCGGGATGCACCTCTGACACATAAAACAGTCATAGTAGCGAAACTAATTGGAATATTGCTAAACTAAATATAGTGGCCTAAACAACAACATTTTTCCTATCTATGTAGTATAAAGGAAGTCGAAAAATATACAACATTTACTAGCTTTGAAAAATTCCTGAAAAAAATGGTGAAAAATGCTATTTTGAAAAGTTACTTCTGCTAAGGTCTGTAGCAAAAAAAATATTTGCCGTATTAAAAAATTTTACTTACATAAAAGTTGCACCCAGGTGTCGGCTTGAAAACGTAATTGACAGATTTTGCCTATCTCAAGATAGCCCTCGCAAAGAGCTATAAAATGAGCCTAAACTTGTTTATGAAATGTTTCATCGTAAGAAGTTATTAACAAAAAACGCTAAAAACCATCCCAAGTAGCCCCGGTTGATGGTACTTTTCCAAAATCACACTATTCACACTTTTTTTCAGTGTTTTTTTTTTGGAGATAGTAAATGTTTGATTTCTTGACTAGCTTTATACATAATAGATAGTATAAATGTTGAAGTTTATGCCACTATTTTTAGTTACACATTATTTTGATTATTTTAGCTGCTACAACATTTCTATGAAATGTAGGACACGTGTCCCAATTTACCCCGCCTGTCCCTTTATACCCCGTATGACGGTACTAGAAATTAGAGCATGGGCAGGCGGAGGTGGTGCTAGTGCCAGTCAACTGCAAAGCATAACTAAAATTAATTTACTAGAATTGGCTGATATAATACTTGATAAGGCTTGGAACATGAGAAATATTGTAAGGTAACTTCACCACTCATGACTATTTGAAGGCCACTGAAGGTGATAAAACATGCTTGAATCATTAATTAAGGGGAGCATCTAGGGTAAAATTTTGGATTTAGGCTTTTCCGGTTTTTAGTCTCATCTTAAAGCTGACATTCTGATCTATCCAACAGTACCAAAACCATCTCTGTACGTTGATTTATGCGTTCACGACAGATCATGAAAGGGAGAGTGGCGGGGGGGAAAATCGAAAAATTTTCGAAAAATTTACAAAAAATGCTCCCACACCCACAAAAATGAGAAATCCTAAAAACCCTCGTGTTGCGTTTTAGATATGGTCTTTACGCATCAAATGATATGTGTCTCAATGTTGTAGCTTGAAAATCCTAGGAGGAGATAGGTTTCTACGGTACCTCCTCTTTTGGCCGTTTTCTAAGAATTTCACGTTTTCTTTCATTTTTTTCAAAAAATTTACATGAACAAAAATGTCTTAGAATTCTATTTTACATATGTGTACCAAGTTTCAGAGTGATCCGTTTGTAAATAGCCGAGATAAATTTTACCCTAGACGCTCCCCTTAATGGAACAGGAATCAGAATCGTTAATGAAGCTACAATGAATAAATTAAAATTTGAAGCTTAAAACTCTAAACTTATTGACTGTAGATAACTAACTGAACAAATAATATAACTCGACTTGAAAAAATGTTGATGAATCATAGTGGAACTTTAGGAAAAGCACCAAAAACCATGGGACAGAATAGCTAGCACAGACTAAATGAATACATATTACCAGCACAGAACAAAATGCTCATTCAAATAAACCTTGCAATGACAGCAGTTACATGAAAAAAACAAAAGCCTCAATTCAAAATTGTGAAATGAAGCTTAATTAAGACAAGTTAAGAAAGACTTCAGCAAGACATTAACACTAAGGCACCAAAACATTATTTTACTTTTGGCCTGAAGGGATAGACTATCATCCAACTCACCTAGGCAATGGTCCTTCTAACTAGTAATAATAGCCTTCTGAATTCCCAATTGATCAGAAAAATTACCACAGCTTCACATTAAAGGTAATGACACTGGCATTGGAATATTAATTGGTGCTGGAAAAAGATGCAAGAAATACATTGCATAGTTAATCATGAATAATTGGTTAAAATTTAGGTAAATGGGTGAAGGCAGTAATGGATGTGCTAAAACCTTGCTTAATTAAGCCCCCTGTATCAGTGCAGCCTCTGGCTATCCTGAGTGCTGCATCCTGAACTGTTTGAAGTTTGTTCATGTGTGTGGGTGATATGATTGGTGACCAGGATGAGTTTACTATATGTCACACATCCAAGTCAGGCCTGCGTTCTCCTCAACATCCCTCGCTAGTAGCAACAGAGAGACTGCCCACACATGGGGAGCTGCAGGCCAGCAGCACTAAAAAATTTGGGCTTCAGTTCCCCCTTTTGGGTGACAGGGAAAAGTTGACTGTCCATTTGGGCCCTCATCCAGGCTGCGCTCTAAACGCTGACAGCAATTGGAGCATTTCAATTCATTCCTTCCATACATCCAAGCACCAATTCTCTGATTATTGTGGAAGTCTAAAAGCTTGTGCTTCATGTCATAGCATTTTAGCTTGCACAATACACATGCATGACTGTTATGTCTGGTTTTCATTTCTTTGTCTAATTTTGTCATTGGACAAAATTTTTTTTTGTTTTACTATGGCAATGAATCTTTAGTGGGTACACAGAATTAGGGGTGTTTAACCAGTTTATCTGATACATTGATTCCAAACCAAACATTATTTCTGGAGCTGTGAGTTTATTTACCTTTCAGCAGTGAAATACATTTCACCCATGAATTCATTTATGAATCATGAATTCATGTTCCTGTTACTGCAATGATGAGGAAACATTGCTTAAATTTTGGATTATTTTTGGCTAATTAAAATGCTTCTTTAGTTGTAACATGACATTATTTTCTCCCTGCAGCTGAGCTAAGATTATCAATTGGAAAGAAGGCAAGGAAAATCAATAAACCATAAAAGGATGAGAAATAATTAATTTCATTGAGGAAAAACATTCTAGTCAATGAAAATAGTAACCCAGCAGGGCAGGTGAAATAACTTTGATCTTAGTTTTCATGTATGACCATTTTATCAGAGATGATGTGCTCCCAATATTCTCCAATGAAAACATGTGGCTGATTTTAGCTGATCTTTTATCAACATTATTTTTGCAAGTTTTATTTATTTTAAGTAGATTCTTCAGCTTGATAGTTATGAATAAAAATTCAGCTGTGCATATGTATTCAGCATGTAAATTCAGCTGTGCTGCCATTTTTTTTGTTTTAATCAAGGGTTAAATATTTTTAATATACTTGTAGGTATTGAAAATTCTAATAATAAATGAAATATAGACCCTTAAACTATCAGAATAGATAAACCTGTATAGAATTATTCTTAATCTTACAGAATAAAAACCGGAACAAAATACTGTTGAATCTTGTGCTGAAATCAGGTTTTCTGGTCACAATTGACAGAGATCTGCAGAGAGTGAACAGCAGTCCTAATATTCAATCTGCATTTCATCCTTAAATCTAGTATTTTCACATCATGGCTTATCCAAAGATTCAGTTTGCATCCCTTACTGTAAATTTAAAACCTGCCTTGATTGAAAAGATTCAAGGTTTGCAAGGAATAGTGCTTGATCTCCACCACGCTCAGTTTAATGAACAGTGTACTCACTTGGTGGTTGAGAATGATCACATTAGGCCAACTGAGCGCCTTTTGGCTTGTTTAGCTGCAGGTATGTTCATTAATTATACCCTTGTATAAATCAATAAACAAGAAATTGGAATGAAGTTTAATATATGGAATATTTTGGTCCTAATCAAATAACAATCGAGAAAATAATTTCTCTTTATCTATAACTATCCCTCTAATTCACATATATTTCTACTTCAAAGGCATATGGATTGTGCGCATGTCTTGGGTGGAGGCTAGTTATTTATTGGGCCATTGGGTGCCAGAAGAACCTCATGAGTGCATGGGGGGCCATGGAATTCCACGATATCACAGACTGAGAGCTAAAGCTGCAATGGAATCTGCTGGACGAGGATGTGCATTGCCTGGCTTGATTGCTAATAACACTTCCAGCATTGACAGCATCAAACATCGTGGGATCTTCTCGGGCTGGACAATGTATGTTCATGTCAAACAATCATCTGACAGCAGATCATTTAGAAGGTAAGCTGCCATCATGCAGAGTATGGTTAATTTTCATCTATCTGAATCAAGTTATTGAATAAATTATTTATCAAAGAGTTGTACATGTAATCTTATTCTTTATGAATATTTAATGTTTGACTATTGACTTAGATGCCTCATGTATTTTCTCCAATGTGAGAAATGTGTTTGCTTAGTTTGGTAATTTATTTCTTTGTCCATAAACAGAGTATTGTCAGCTGCTGGAGCTGAAGTTGTGAGTAGCTCAGATTTCCCACGTTCCCGAGATCGTCTGAATCTAGTGCTGTGTGATAATGAAAGCATTGCTGTGCTAAGACCTCTCCTGGGTCCAGGCACACTCATTGCTCATCACAATTTCTTGAGGGATATACTGCTATGTGTGAGTTTATCTGTAAATAAAATAGATCTCTGACTTCAATTCTTGTGAATTTTGATCAAACACTACTATTTACTTGTGCAAAGTTCAAATGTTCTGAAATAAGTTGATGTTTTCATTTTTTGTTGATGTTTCAAATATTGTTGGAGTATAATCTCAAAGTATTGGGAATTTAAAATTATTCATTGGGTTACAGTTGTGATTAATCTGCTTCCTATTGGCTGTCACTTTGTTGGACATTATGCTATTTTAACTAATTTTATTAGAATGTGGTAATTTTACTGATAGATGATCAATATGTTATTGAAAGACCTATTTTTCTCTCAGCGCCATGATCCAGCTAAGATTCAGCCATATCTCTACACAGCCCATGGTAGGCCAAGTAAGTATCCTAGAATTTAATGATGCTAATTTAATTGAATTAGTTCTTGAATTTTACTGAATAGTACACTAAGCAGCAGCCCAAGTGCAGTTGGCTGCTGTTCACTAAGAACGCAGTTGAGCTTCTTCTTTGAAGTTTTGGCATCAAGGTCTCTTTGATTTTTGCTGTGCACACTTGTATTCAAATTGCATTGCCAAGTGATTTTGCTATTATTTTTCATTCATTTTATTCTACAAAATTTACATTGTTCTGATACATATAGGTATACAATTTTCCTAGTAACATGATTATATCCTTAGCTTGCTACTGATTTTTTTGACAGATATGCAGAGTGCTGGATCGGCTGATCAACCTTTGGTGAGTGAGCTTTCCATAATATATTCTGATTAGCCTAAATAGTTACCTATTGAAGAATGACTAATTGCTTTGCATTATAATAAGATGGTCATTTTAGTTAATTTCTTTCAATTTTAAACAGATTCTGGATTAAACAGATCTTCATTCACTCCAAGGAAGTCAACCCCTGTCACAGCAACTACAGCTCGTCGCCCTACAGCATTACTGCGGTGTAATAGAATTCAAAATAATGGTTCGATCACAGAATATTTGTCTCCGTCCAAACCTCCCAACAGAGTACAAGAAATCGTCATTTTAGATGAAGCTGATGATGCTACCCATGCTTTGGTGAATCTAACTAGTGAGGCAATTGTCAGGCAACAATGTTGATACCATTTGTCCCTTGATATTTCCTGATTGATGTCTTCCTTGTTGAAAGATAAGATCCTTCACATGCGATATGTTCATGAGCATTTCCTTGTATTAGCCTTTCCTGTTCATCAAGTTACGCCCTTGGTGACGTCAATTAGCGTAGCTATATGAGCTCTGCCCAAACCAGGAAACTCAGTCTTGGGCGAGGAGAGCTACGGTATACCCCATTGCTCCTGTCCATGTCAAACAGGACAGTAACTATAAATTAACGTCAGAGTAGAAGATACACTCTAGACTTATCCCTACTTCAACTGGACGCCGAAGACATCAGTGTTAAAGCTCCAACTTATAAACTTATTAACCAATTATCCTAAACTGTAAGCCGAACTATAATCCTAAAAGTATATTATATAATCGTTTACGCTGTCCCTCTATATCCTCGGATCCAGCTACAACCGAACCACCCTCAGGTCATACTTAACTACGATTAAATATCAGAGTTGCATAGAAAAGCAACCTGTTACACAATTCTACCACAGAAATTGTTCTCCGATATTATTGTAGTCAGTGATGATGAAGAAGACAACCACCCTTCAAAAAAATTGAAACATACTTAGTCTACCAGTACAACACCTAAAACAACGTATACTACCTCTACTGGAATTGATGATGAAATTGAAGTGCTGGAAATTTTGACACAGCCTTCTGGGCTAAATTCTCATAGAAGAGATTGCAGCTACTTGGGCGAGTCTTCTAGCAGATCAGGAATTTTAAACTTGCACGATGTGAAGAATGAAGATGACTGTTGCATAACTGAAGTGCAAAAAAATGTAGCAAAGAGCAGTTTTTTTAATAACCTGCCCAAAGCTCTGTTTGACTCAAAGCCATCTGTAAGCCAGCTCAATCTAAAGACTGAAGACGTTAATTTGAAGCTAGGGCTGCTCAAGTTTGAGAAAGACCTCCAAAAAGTACTTGCAGCACATAACTTGGGATCTGCTTCAGCTAACCCAATTTCTTCCTTGAAGTTGGAAACTCCTGATGCTGAAGATGACAAGAAGTTTAATGTTAAATTAGAACCTCTCAAGATTGAGTTGGCCACAAAAGAAAATGCTGAAGTAAACAAAGCATTAGATTTGCCTCTTAATGGTACCATCCCTCCTCTGACGTGTTCCAGTCCTGCTTCAGCTCCTGCTCCTCCTTGCCAGGCACCAACTGAAGGCCTTGTCAATACCTCTGTTGATTCGTCGTTGTCTATGTCTTCCAATTCAGAAAATGGTTTCACCGGAGGAAGAATTCCCCATTGGTTAACACGCAATATGATGGGGAAATTTTTGGAAAGAAGTTATTCTTGTCGTGAAATATTTGGAAGTTCTCTTGACTGTTGCTTCCCGACTCAGCTTGATCCTGTGCTTGCTCCCTACTGCAGAGTTCAAAAAAGCACTGAAGCCAGTCTTTACTGTGCCAGTGTCCATCAGAGCAAACTACTGGGCTTTAAAGTTAATTCTACACCCGCCACAACGCCCTCGTCTATAAACTCTGAACAATCCTTATGTGGGAGCCAAAAAGTAGACAATGAGCAGTCCCTTTCCACAGCTCCAAATTGCAGTAATGTAAAAGGATGCGGTGTCAATGAAAATGAAATTGAAGTTGTGATTAATAGTTTGCTGTGGCTCAGACTTTCGGTAACTCCTCTGCATTTCCCCGACGCTGAAATGATTGGGGATATGCTGTCGCGATATGTTCTAAACGTATGTATATACATAACTTGCAGTCTAAATATTAATAATAGTATTGAGTATTCTAATTTTGATAATAATTCACCAACATGTATTTTTTGTTTCTAATTCAGTTACTTGATTCTAAGCTCGATATGTAACCAGCTGAGATGTTGAAAAAGAATTTTATGAAATAACTGACCTTATATTAGATGCAAGCTTTTTTTCTAATTACGTAAATGTACATGCGTGGAATATTCATTGGAATTGTAGCTCTTATTTGTGTTGCAGTGTGGCACAAGTCGCGTGCAATCGCAAGCTCTGTCAGTGGCTCACCACATCTTGGCCCTGATGCCGCCTTCGTCGGCCACGCGGGACTACTACACCGCGCTGTTGCGCGCCATCGTTACGGCTGCTCCTGGTCAATGCAAGAAGGTCTCTTGTTCTTTCATCTAGGAAAATATTGTTAATATACCCATTCTTTCGTGGTATTCTGGTGTTAATAATGTTCTGATGCTTATTTTGTGGATTTCTTTGTTGTAGGTTTTACTTTTAAGCCTGGTAATTCAGAGATTTTCGCTCCTGTTAGTTTATTGAATGGACCCGCCTGCTGGACGAAAGGGAGCCAGTAGACGCAGTGTACCTCGATTTTGCCAAGGCATTTGACAGTGTCCCACATGAGCGGTTGTTGCGTAAATTGAAGTCTTTGGGAATTGAGAGTAATGTACTCAAATGGATCAGAAAACTCTGAACAATCCTTATGTGGGAGCCAAAAAGTAGACAATGAGCAGTCCCTTTCCACAGCTCCAAATTGCAGTAATGTAAAAGGATGCGGTGTCAATGAAAATGAAATTGAAGTTGTGATTAATAGTTTGCTGTGGCTCAGACTTTCGGTAACTCCTCTGCATTTCCCCGACGCTGAAATGATTGGGGATATGCTGTCGCGATATGTTCTAAACGTATGTATATACATAACTTACAGTCTAATTTTTAATAATAGTATTGATCTAGTATTTTAATTTTGATACTAATTCACCAACATGTATATTTTTTTGTTTCTAATTCAATTACTTGATTCTAAGCTCGATATGTAACCAGCTGAGATGTTGAAAAAGAATTTTATGAAATAACTGAACTTATATTAGATGCAAGCTTTTTTTCTAATTACGTAAATGTAGATGCGTGGAATATTCATTGGAATTGTAGCTCTTATTTGTGTTGCAGTGTGGCACAAGTCGCGTGCAGTCACAAGCTCTGTCTGTGGCTCACCACATCTTGGCCCTGATGCCACCATCGTCGGCCACGCGGGACTACTACACCGCGCTGTTGCGCGCCATCGTTACGGCTGCTCCTGGTCAATGCAAGAAGGTCTCTTGTTCTTTCATCTAGGAAAATATTGTCAATATACCCATTCTTTCGTGGTCTTCTGGTGTTGATAATGTTCTGATGCTTATTTTGTGGATTTCTTTGTTGTAGGTTTCACTTTTAAGCCTGGTGCTTCAGAGATTTTTGCTCCTGTTAGTTTATTAGTAGTGCGATGTGATATCAGTAACATTTTCCAAATCTAAAGGTATTGCAAACGCGAATAGCCCCTACGGATATACAGTGCTCTATTATTCATGAATTGTGGAAATAATGACTCAAAGTGACACAAATTTTTTGAAATGTAGCAAAATTTTTGGTTCTAATTGTTTTTCTTTTCATATCTCAGGAAGTGCCTATGGGAGATTCGGCGTGGACGCTGCTGGAGCGCGTGGCATGCTTGCTTGGTGGTTCATCTTGTGAATTTTTCCCTCAAGACGAGCTGCACCGTCAACAAGTCACTTACGAACTCTGGCAATGTCAACAACACCTGCTTGATCTTTTGGCTTTTGTTTTAAGTGTCTTGGACCTCGACATGTGCGCCTGGAAAACGTGAGCAACTTGCGACTTCTGCTAGGTTTCATTATGTTACTAGACTTACAAGTTAGATCGGTCATTTAAACTTTTTGAGATAAAATGGCCGCTGTTTAAGTAATTGTCTATAAAATTTCATTTATGTGGGTGAACCCAGATGAATATTACTAAATTATGAAACGTTGGATATTGAATTATGATGTAGAAAAACATCGTCAATCTGATTACGTTTATATGATTTTACTTTCCTTGCACTGACAGTAGTAGATGACATTGAGGCTATTGTATTTCCCAGATATGCCAGATCCACGGCCGCAACGCCTGTAGAAGAGCTCATCAGCTATCGGCTAGTTTTTGGCTACTCGACAAACCCAGCAGTGCTGCCCAAATCTGCCCTGAAGACCTTGAAGCTCTGGCTTAGTCTCACTCCCTGCGCCACCCAGTTTCAGTCTCTGCGTATGCTCAGGCTTACCTGCTCAGTGAGTGCTTATATTGGACTTGAGTTTTTTTGCTGGACGTATCCTTCAATGCTAATGGTCGAACATTCCTAAAGTTGAGCATGCATATCACATTCAGTCTAATAGATACATACCTGAAACGGGGCTATAATTTGGTTTGTTTTTACTTATGATTTTTATTTGATTAAACGGCTATTAATAACGATTGGATTGTTGAATGTTAGCTTGGAGTTACATTCTTCTTACTCGTCTGGATCAAATTTAATTTTTTTTACAACACTTCTCTTTAACTTCACTTTTTGTTTGTCTGTCTGCTACAAATCTTATAATCAATATTTACCACACTTCTACCTCTCCAATCGATCTGAAATTTGGCACACTTTTTTTCAAAAATTTTTTTTTTCAATATTGAAAAAAATTGAAAAAATAATTTCGTCTCCTACAAATCTTATAATGCATATATGACACAATTTGACCTGTCCAATTGATTTGAAATTTTGCACAATTGCATAAGGTCAGAGACAATACATGAATCAATTGACAGAATAAATAATTTTTGAAATTTACAAAATTTTGATACATCTTAAAAAAATTTGAAGAATAATTTTTTTTTCAATATTTGAAAATGAAATTAGAAATTCATTGTACATGTGTAACATCCCAGATACTGGATTGTTCAGAAGTGTTGTCTTTAAAAAGCAATTTTTAAAGGCATATTATTGGTATTTTGGTTGTGCTTGTCTTTACAGATACCACTGGAATTAGAATCATTCTGGGTATGTTCAGCTAAACCATTCTCAATTTTTGAGTACATAATAGGTAATTATGTTTGCATATAAAAAAGGTGATTTTCTGAAGGAGCTGCCATTCTACTGTTGGGTAACAGCTTCTTGAACTCGTAATTTGTATATCTTTACAGAGGTTTATAGCGCTTATGCTTGAGCTGGTGTGGCTATATCATGGTCAGCAAGCTCCTGTTAAGGCAGAAAAGATGGAAGAGTTGCTCGCTGGAGCGCTTTCCGTCCAGGACAGTCGCCTCGCACCTCTCGTCACCGCCATGACTGTCGAGATCAAAGGTATCTGGAGAAGGCTTCCAACAGCAAGCTCCTGTTAAGGCAGAAAAGATGGAAGAGCTGCTCGCTGGAGCGCTTTCCGTCCAGGACAGTCGCCTCGCACCTCTCGTCACCGCCATGACTGTCGAGATCAAAGGTATCTGGAGAAGGCTTCCAAAAGCGCTACTTATAAAGCATTGCACTGCTTGAAATATTACTTTGAGATCTTTATTATGCATGTGCGGTTGGGTGGCCTTCATGTGTCTTAAGTATAACACATAAATTATATCTCTTGTTTGCAGGTATGAAGTTCGTCAAGATCTACAACCTCGTACGGGAAGTTCCAGTATCTCGCCACCGTTATTTTCTCTCGAATTTGTTGCTCTCGATCTACTCACCCGCGAGCAGCAAAAACAACAACAATGAATCCGTGCCCGTTGTTATGGGCGTGGGACTCAGTGTCCTACAAAACATGGTAAACCTGAAATGTTTTTCTGTCGATTTACATCGTCAACATAACTACTTTCGAGATGTTGAAGTAAAAATAAATATTTCCATAGTGTGTTTGCCTTTTTGGAAAATAAATGAATTCCAAAAGTTTGGAGATTAATGGAACCCTTCTTTTCACATTAAAGAACTTTCCTCGCGCGAAAGTTCTTAATATTTCTAATTAATGTACTGATTAGCGTGCTATGCACACTGTGTTTTATTCTTTTAATGTGTTTTATATTTAAAAATGTTGTTCATAAAATGATTTTTCAGATAAAAGTTCTTTCTGACGAATGCTGTGCCTGCCGTGATTCCACACGCGGCGAAGGGACCATGTCGGTAAATGGGGAGGCAAATTGCTGCACTGGTCGCCAGGTTGACCTCAACCACAAGGAAAAAGTCTCTGTGTTATTTCAAAAAATCATGTCGTACATTCAATTCACAGGAGCCATTCATGTCGTGAGACGAGCCACAATCGAAAGTCTCAAGAAGAAAGTCAAGTTATCCGCTAATCATGACAGAAGAGGGAATTCTCTTTCAGAGAATGATTGTTCTTTCGGTTCTAGAAGCAGTAGTTGCTCTTCTGATTGCCAAGATCCTCCACAACTCGCTGATGAGATTTTCTATGATGTTTATGGTAGAGCTCTCGCTAAGGATTATTTGACCGCGTGCACTGCGCGATTTTCTTCAGATCGCAAAATGATGATCGGTAAACAGCGTACATTTAGTGAACTCTTGGAGTGTTGTGAACACATTTTCATGTTGAAGATGCCTCTTGTTCTTCTGTACTTCAAAATTTAGTCATGGAATTAGTGAATAACGGAAATTTAGTGCATAACGTTACCATTAATTTTATTATTTCATGAGCATAGGATCTGATATTGTTCATTCCTAATCTTAGTTTTGTTATATTTTTGCCCTTGTAGTTGCCGCTCTTTTGCAAGGGTTCGATGTATTAATATTTACCAGCCAATCATTTTCGTCTTAATACTACTTATTTAGTATACATTCTTCATTGTATATTTTAGGTTTATGTTACTGAAAGTGAAAGGTCAGTTTAATTTTAATGCTGGTTCTAAACTTTTAGTTAGTTATGCATTTAGAAAAACAGTTTTGTGCATGATTGCAAACTTTAAATCGTTTGTCCGTTATTTTCGTTCCTCGACTAGTCACAAGCCTGTATTGGTACTGTAATACTCTAATTTTCTTTAGAACCTAATAAGAACAGTCAAGTTATTTTTCAAACTGCGTTTAATTGTTTTCCACTCTTCCTGCTTGCTTGTTGAGAAATGTTCGGAAAAAAGCTGAAACTTGTTAATTGTGCTGATTGCTGTACTTGTTTTGAATAGTTCTTTTCGATCTTAATGTATCAATTTATAATAGCGGTTTCAGCGTTCATTAGGCCTTGAACCTGTCGTCGATTCAGACGATTCTCAACATCGCAGAACATTCACATTTTGTTGCGGGTCTCAAACACGCAACTCACTGCTTCCAAAGTTCCATAGTGCCTTTCCTCATCACCCGGACCCGGCCTCCACGCCGCTTCAGACCTGATACTGGCACACAGTTGGGTTCAAACTTACACCTTTCTGCTCCAACCTTAGTACTCTTAACTGAAACCACCGGGCCCCTCCTCCTCCCCAGTCTAATTGCTATGCTAATAGCGCACTCTAATTTGTCCAAATATTGACCTCGCATTAAGGTCATTCAGTTGAAAATGTATCCTCAAACTGAATCGGTGACGGTGGTCTTGCGTCAATGCCTTCAATAGAAAGTTATTTAAGGCTTAGCAGATCAGGCTTCCAGCTGCGCCCCACACACAATGGCGCATGTGATTGAAATATGGAGAAGTGGACCAATTAATTCTATTCCCTTGAGGTGCGATATGTGGTCCGCAATGAATTTCAGCACGAAGAATTAAAATTGTTTATGTATAATCGTCATGCGTAATATAGATAAAAATTCTGTACAAAAAATCTTAAGTGGTTCTAGTCGAACTATTGCACATTTGAATTCACATACCTCAAATTTATTGTCACTTAGAATCCGTGAAACTCCACGATAAAGTAGAATTCTGCCGAGCCTGATATTTGAAGTAGAAATAACTTGACGATAATGCCATCTGATAATACTTTCCTTGTGTATAAACGCCTCAAATGCTTTTCTTGACATCGGAATAAATCGGTTAAGATTTGGTAGTGGACGATGCGATATTGAATCGCAATTAAGTATGACCTGAGGGATGAATCTGTTGTAGCGGGATCCGAGGATATAGACATATAGAGGAACAGCGTAAACGATTATAAAATAAACCTTTGGATTATAGCATATGTTCAGTCTTAAAATGCCCAGCAAATTAAGGACCAGGCAATTAGTCTAGCAGCTATCTCAATCAATCGTCAGTTATGGAAAGATCGGGTTCCAAAGGCCTGATCCCTTGTGAATCAAGTCGCGAAAAGTTCAAGAATCTGCAACAGGCCATGGGCCTATTTCTTCATTGCCGACACTTCTATTCTATTGTTCGGCTTACAGTTAAGGATAATCAAAGTTCGTAAGTTGGAGCTTTAACATTGAGGTCTTCGACGTCCAGTTGAAATGAATAAGTCTAGAGTGTATCTTCTGCTCCGACGTTATTTTAGGGTTACTGTCTGATTGATATGGAATGGACAGGAGTAATTTCTTCCACACGACTGTTCTCGGCCCAAGACTGAGGTTTCCGGGTCTGAGCAGAGCTCATGTAGCTTCGCTGTTTGACGTCACCAAGAGGCAAGGGCGTGACTTGATAAACAGAAAAGGCTAATACAAGGAAATGCTTATGAACTATCGCATGTGAAGGGGATTTTCTCTCAACAAGGAATACATCAATCAGGTAATATCCAGCAGGGACGAATGGTATCAACATTGTCACCTGACAGTTGCTCACTTAAGATCTCCAAGCAATGCCTAATTCAAATTGTGAATTAGTAAAAAAAAAACAAATTTATTTATATTATATTGTAGTTTAACTTGCATTTATTAGTCCTATTCTGTCTGCGGTTTGTTCAAGATTTGTAGTTAAGGTTGCTGTGTGTCACCTCTCACCTGGCCTCCCTTTTCTCTCCTAGTAACAACGAGTCAACGAACATGTGATGCGTTGCAGATGGCCGTTGAAAAGGCCTCTGACTCCCTCCGGAATAATGCTTCTTTTCAGAGTCAGTCACCACGCCCCAAATCCGTGAATGCAAGATCCATATTGTTATACCAAGAATTGTAGAATCCAGTCCACTCCACGACCTCGTTTTTGTAGGGCAAGCTCCATGCGTTATTAGCAGGGTTTCTAGCTGAAAAATTGTAGAAATTTGTCTTATTAATTGATATTTTGCGTAGTAAACTATTCAAATTTCAAAGGGTTGATACAAACTTGTACCGGTAGAACAGTTTTCGTGAAAAACGGACAAAATGACCGCTACCGGTGCTAAACAGGAACCGAAGCTCCGTTGACATTCACTCATTCAGAGCCAATAAAAATACTTTCTTTTGGATTTCTTCCCTAATTTTTAACCGTAACTCCACTCGTGAATAAGCAGACAATCTAAATTTGCAATAAATGCTAATTTATGCATTGGTTTTGCAATGATTGGATTATGATGATATAGTCATAAATCATACAACATGAACAAGGTTTCTTTATTACTATTGACTTGTCGTAGCCTATTCTGAAGCTTCAAGTGTCTCGTGTGGTGGTGTTGTGCCGCTTCCCATTTTTTGCTCTCAGACTCAGTCTTAGTTAAGAGTCAAGTCAGGGCCCAATTCATTGTAAAATTTATTCTAGTCTATATAATTATTGTTATCAATAAATATCATGCGGTCATGCCCATAGTGGCAAACCACAGCTTTTTTAGAATCAGTTCATTTTTAATTTCCTCATTTACCCAAGATTTAAATCAATTCCTTTTGTATGATACTGCTGGTATCCAGGATACTTTACTGGTCTACTTATAGCCAGTTATAGGACTCACAAATGAACTTGAGGGAGAGTCTAAAAAACTCCCTGCTTTGCCACTATGGTCATGCCTGCTATCAGCCTCGAGAGTTGAGCCTTCATAAATCATAAGTTCATAGTTCATATTGCACTTGTTATGAATTATTGACATTTGACAAAAGATTTGGTTTTTTTATCACAATGGTTTGAAATGGACATTCTACCTGTAAACCTGGGTCCTGGGCCTTGACTTGCATGACACGCTTTCGCGTGTCATGCACAGAGCAAGTAAACCAGAGCGTGAAAGCAAGTAATAGTGGTATTCAAAGGTAGGTCTTGTAGATGAAGATGACCTAGTCTGGAAAAGTCCTATTTTTGTCTGAAATATCGCGGCTCTAATATCATATAATTTCAGTAGGTATGAAATCTCGCGGCTCGAATGTCATAAATTTTTGTTTGATTAAAAAATCGCGGTTTGCACTTCGCAAACATGTCATTTCATAAAATTTTCAACTTCCGCAATCCGCATTG